ATAGTCACAAGCACGGCTTGCAACAGCTGTGTCAGGGTGATTTTCATCTATAAAGGTTTGCAGTTCAACCCACTCTGCACACATTTCCTTAATCTTTGAAGTAGGCACAATGATTCCACAACTGGCATAGGCTTCTCAGGGTTAGCCCCAAACCCTTCAAAATCTTTCTTAATTTCCATACTAATTCTCACCCTTTTTACCACAGGGTTGGCACTAGAAGCTTTCTTGGGGCCCATGGTCACTTATTTTCCAGAAACAGCACCGAAAATACTGTAATAATACGAAATATTCCGAGTGTATGCTTGGATGTTACCGCGGAGGCTGGCTGGTAAACAATGGGACGGAGCGGCACATGTGAGGCTGGCTGAGGGCACATTGGACGCGTCTCGGACGAAAATCGGTATGCGGGTTTTTAATCGGTATGCGGGGCAAAAATTTTGCGATAAAAGTAATCGTTATGCGGAAAAATCGCTATGCGATGCCATCGTTATGCGGGGGTCCACTGTATATATATATATATATATATATATATATATATATATATATAATATATATATATATATTATATATATAATATATATATTATATAATTAATTGAGTTTTCTCTGAGGTACGTTTATTGTCTTCTCTGAGGATGAGGGTCCCCATTCCAGCTATAGAGGTGGTACATCCCTATATATTTTTTGTTTAATTAGTATATATATATTATATATATTATATATAATATATATATATTATATATATATATATATATATATATATATATATATATATATATATATATATATATATATATATATATAATATGCAATAAGATCACAGTAAACAGGTGATTTCAAAATATGCAAAACAACCACTCTGAAAGAATAGAGAAATTCCAAGCGCTTTCATGACTACTCACATTATCATAGTTCCTTGATAATGTGAGTAGTCACGAAAGCGCTTGGAATTTCTCTATTCTTTCAGAGTGGTTGTTTTGCTATATAATATATATATATATATATATATATATATATATAATAATATATTATATCAGTGGACCCCCGCATAGCGAACGCCTTGCATAGCGAACAATCCGCATAGCGAACGCTTTTTTCGCTAAAATTTTGCCCCGCATAGTGGACAAAAACCCGCTCAGCGACCTTCGTCCGAGACGTCCAATGTGCGCCCTCAGCCAGCCTCACATGTGCCGCCCGTCCCATTGTTTACCAGCCAGCCTCCGTGGTAACATTCAAGCATACACTCGGAATATTTCGTATTATTACAGTGTTTTCGGTGCTGTTTGTGGAAAATAAGTGACCATGGGCCCCAAGAAAGCTTCTAGTGCCAACCCTACACCTCAAAGGGTAAGAATACCCATTGAAATGAAGAAAGAGATCATTGATAAGTATGAAAGTGGAGTACGTATCACCGACCTGGTCAGGTTTGTACAAGAAACCAAAATCAACCATCGCTTCTATTGTGGGCAAGAAAACGGCAATCAAGGAAGCTGTTGTTGCCAAAGGTTTAACTGTGTTTTCGAAACAAAGATCGCAAGTGATGGAAGATGTTGAGAGACTCTTATTGGTGTGGATAAATGAAAAACAGCTAGCAGGAGATAGCGTCTCTCAAGCGATCATATGTGAAAAGGCTAGGAAGTTGCATGAGGATTTAATTAAAAAAATGCCTGCAACTAGTGATGATGTGAGTGAATTTAAGGCCAGCAAAGGTTGGTTTGAGAGATTTAAGAAGCGTAGTGGCATCCATAGTGTGATACGGCATGGTGAGTTGGTGGAGGAGGACAATGAAGAACTAACCACTGATGAGCTGATAGATCAACTTCAAGAGCAAGAGGCCAGACCTGGGGAAACTGGTTCAAAGGAGGGGAGAGAGAAATTGAAGGAATTGCTTACTTCAAAGATTAAGGAAATGTGTGCAAAATGGCTTGAAGTGCAAACCTTTTTTGATGAAAATCACCCTCACACAGCTATTGCAAGCCGTGCTGGTGACTGTTACAATGACACTGTTGTGAACCACTTTAGACAAATCATAAAGGAACGAGAGGTACAGGCCACTATGGACAGATATGTTGTGTCGAAAGAAGTCCAGTGACTCTGAAGCTGGTCCTAGTGGCATTAAAAGAAGAAGGGAAGTAACCCCAGAAAAGGACTTGCTACCTCAAGTCCTAATGGAAGGGGATTCCCCTTCTAAACACTAACACACTCTCTCCCCTCCTCCCATCCCATCAATCATCACCAGATCTTCAATAAAAGTAAGTGTCATGTAATTGTGCATGCCTTTTTCAGTTTGTGTGTACTAAAATTAACATTTTTTTGTGGTAAAAAAAATTTTTTTTCATACTTTTGGGTGTCTTGCACGGATTAATTTTATTTCCATTATTTCTTATGGGGAAAATTAATTCGCATAGCGAACATTTCGCATAACGACCAGCCCTCTTGCACGGATTAAGTTCGCTATGCGGGGGTCCACTGTATATGTATATGAGTATAGGAGATGGCATGGAAGAAGAAAATGGGTTTCTGAATTGCTTAAAAATACAGAGGGAAGATAGCCTTAGCCAAGAGATCACTGCATTAGAGCAAACTGACATATGAGCATGCAAACTGGCGTATGAACCACAGCCCGGCTGGTCAGGTACTGACTTTAGGTGCTTGTCCAGTGCCTCCTTGGAGACAGCCAGGGGTCTGTTGGGAGGCAGTTGAACAGTCTTGGGCCCCTGACACTTAGTGTTCTCTCTGTGTACTCGTGGCATCCCTGCTTTTCATTGGAATATTGCAAGACACCCAAAATATTTCTGTTCCTATGCAAAATCCAAGCTAAAAACTATCTGTAGAATTGGACCATTATTGAGAGGAGACTCGTATACTGATGATGAACAGGAAATGAGTGAAATTCTAAAAGAACAGCATGAGTCGGTGCTCAGTAACCCATTAAATGACAGCAGGGTAGAGAACACAGAAACATTTTTTCACTCTAGCAGAAATCCGCACAGATCAACAGACTGACAGTACAAATCCCAGAGAGAGTGATACGATGGCAGATTACAAATTTCATGGACCAGCACAACTGGCATAACCCATAACTACTGGTACCCAATGGGGTGCCAATAGTACAGCTCAAAACTGCAAATATTCAGGCACTGGTCATGTTTCTTGCAGTGTTACAGAGTGTAGAGGTCCTTGAAACACAGCTCCACACACATCAGGGTTTTACACATCTCTACACATAAAACATGTGTGTCTGCACTCTGGTGGATGCCTTATTGTGCGTACAGACATAACATCTCTTCTGAGTCTATTTATTCTTTACTATTAATAATAATAATAATAATAATATTATCATTATTATTATTATTACTGTATCAGGAAGTGTTATTAGGAAGTGATCACCAAACTTCGTACAAGAGATTATTCTGTGATCATCTTGTAATGATATTTCTGGCACCCTGAGCATCACTTGGTGATTCTAGGTTTGAAACCAACAAACTCTTCATCATTTCTATAATTATCATTGTTGGAGCTCTCACCGGGGAATATAACTTGTTCAGTTTGCCTTAGAGTGAGGCCTTTGTGTCCATGCTGCATGGTGAACAAGGTGTGCTAAATACAGTGTTCATACAGTGCACTGCAGGGGGCTCTATTTTTTGTATATTGTGCACACTAGCAATGTAGACTCGTTCTTGTGTATGTAAGCCTACCAAACCTCTCCCGCCATATTTGAAGCCAATAAAGCCAATAGATATTATGTTTAGTACTACATAAGGGACTGCATACATGTACATGAGGGACCCTGGCATCAATAGAGTAGATGTACATGATGGCCACTGAAAGTTATTTTGTAAATGCATACTGTATTCACGAATGACTCGCACCTAAGAGAGAGAAGCTTATGACAACATTTTGGTCTGCTTTGGACCATTTACAAAGTCACACTAACACAAAAGAGTCGTAAGCAGGTTATTTGTGGATTGTTCTGGTCATGGTATTGTGCCTTTTTCATTGTACTGTATTGATAGGCAAAAGTTAAGAGGGTTTTATAAACTCACCCTATCCTTAATTCACAATTAATGTGCACATACATCTAGGGATGGCACGATTCTAAATTGTTAGCCGAGATCGATATTCAGTATTTTTACCTTTGCTGTCAGAATGGTTCAATAACCAGCAATACTTTGGTACACCACTACAAACAAGCAAACAAATTTTATTTGTTTGTGAAGTATACAAAATGTAGTTTACATGTAACAAAATGTATTGCTAGGCACAAAGGAAGCCACTAAACATGCTGGGACATTTCTAGCAGACTAATGCAACCTTTCCTCACTTAGCGACATACTTATTTACCGATGACTTGGACTTATGACAGGCTCTCTGACCAGTATGCATACCAAAATAATATATTAGAGTAGATTTCGTCTATTCTGTTTATTACAATGCACTACTGTATAAACATTTAAAAATATAACAGAAATGTTATAAATGGTACAAAGGTGACATTAAAACAGTATCAAAGATGGTTGACCCAAACCCACTACCATTATAGTATGCTCCTCACTTAACAGATTCGTTTACCAACGAGGTCTTAGGAACAGAACTCCGTCGTTAAGTGAGGAGAGGCTGTACTAATAATTACACACTACTTAACTAGACATAGGTATTGAGTGGTAAATTTTAAGTATTCATTATTACAAAAAAAGAGAGGTAGCAAAAAATAATGCAGTTAGTACAGTTTACAATAGTACACTTTTGAATGTGTATTAATACGTACTTTAAACTGATTCAATGATTTAAAGTTAATTGTGTTAGTCTTGTAGGCACTGTTTAACCTCTTTTTACCTTAACTAAATTTCTTTCTTGTGTTGCAGTTATTGTGAGCATTCATGATCAGTAACGAACTCCCACTCCTGTGCTTCTCTAGAGTAACAAACACAGTGTTCAAGAATATGTTAATGATAATGAAAATTATCATCAGATTGGTAATGCATATCCTTTACTTTGCAGATGTGCAAATGTGAACTTTGCTCGAAGAAACACATGTAACAGGTGTGGCAGAGGTAAGTCAGTTACTGTATTATGATGAGTTATAACTTATTCTACAACTATATGGGCAACAAAACTGTGAAACTGAATTTTGTATCAGTTGTATTTTGTGTGACAAGATTTTGTATTACACTGAATCTCCTGCTAGTTGTATAACTAAAACTTTATATGAATATACAGATATTGTGTGCTACACATACAAAGTATACATTCATTATGTATACAGGTGCTCCTTGCTTTACAATGGTTCAGCTGAAGATATTTCAACTTTATAGTGGTGTGATAACGATGTACATTCAGTAGTCATCATCAAACTTTGATAGAATCAACTTGTATTCATTTGTTTACTTCTCAGTATGCACTGGTATTTAGTTACAGTAATTATTTGTTTACTTACTTATTCAGTGATGGTAGTTATTTATTTATACAATATTTTCAACTTTTGATGGGTTCACGGGAACATAACCCCATCTCAAGTCGAGGAACACCTGTACATGTGTGTATATATTTATTTTATTATTTTATTAACACATTGGCAGTCTCCCAGCAAGGCAGGGTGGCCCAGAAAAGAAAAACTTTATCATCATTCACTCCATCACTGTCTTGCCAGAGGTGTGCTTACACTACATTTAAAAAACTGCAACACTAACACCCCTCCTTCAGAGTGCTGGCACTGTACTTCCCATCTCCAGTACTCGAGTCCAGCCTGCCAGTTTCCCTGAATCCCTTCACGAATGTTACCTCGCTCACACTCCAACAGCACGTAAAGTCCTAAAAGCCTTTCGTCTCCATTCACTCCTATCTAACATGCTCACGCATGCTTGCTGGAAGTCCAAGCCCCTCTAAAACAAAACCTCCTTTACCCCCTCCCTCCAACCTTTCCTAGGCCAAACCCTGTCGTGCTTTCCCTCCACTACAGATTTATAAACTCTCAAAGTCATTGTTTTGTTCCAACCTCTCTAAATGTCCGAACCATCTCAACAACCCCTACTCAGCCCTGTGAATAATATTTTTAGTAATCCCTCACCTCCTAATTACGAAACTACGAATTCTCTGCACTATATTCACACCACACATTGCCCTCAAACATGACATCTCCACTGCAACATTCACCACCCATGTTTCACTCCAGTATAAGAGCATTGGTATAACTATACTCTCATACATTCCCCTCTTTGCTTCCATGGGCAAAGTTCTTTGTCTCCACAGACTCCTAGGTGCACTACTCACCTTTTTCCACTTGTCAGTTCTATGATTCATCTCGTCTTTCATAGACCCATCTGCTGACACGTCCACTCTTTAACCCTTTGACTGTTTCGATCGTACAGTGGACCCCGCCTTAGGAACGCATTGCATTACGTTAAATCCGCCATACGAAGCAATTGAACGCAAATATTTTGCCTCGCCTCACGATAAAAAACTCGCCTTATGTGATTCGTCCGGGACGCGTCCCACGTGTGGCCTCAGTGCCAGTGTTTACAAACCAGCCAGTGTGTTTCGCATCTACACATACATTCGGCACATTTCACATTATCCCAGTGTTTTTAGTGCTTGTAACTGCAAAATAAGTCACCATGGACCCCAAGAAAGCTTCTAGTGCCATTCCTGTGGTAAAAAGGGCGAGAATTAGTATGGAATTGTAAAAAGAGATTAAGGAAATGTGTGCAAAGTGGGTTGAACTGCAAACCCTTACGGATGAAAATCACCCTGACACAGCTACTGCATGCTGTGTTGGCAACCTGCACAATGACAATGTTATGGCCCATTTTAGGAAAGTCTTAAAGGAACGAGAGGTACAGAGCTCTATGGACAGATTTGTTGTGCGACAGAGGTCCAGTGACTCTCAAGCTGGTCCTAGTGGCATTAAAAGAAGAAGGGAAGTAACCCCGGAAAAGGACTTGCTACCTCAAGTCCTAATGGAAGGGGATTCCCCTTCTAAGCAATAACTTCCGCACTCTCCCCTCCTCCCATCCCATCAATCATCACCAGATCTTCAATAAAGGTAAGTGTCATGTATTCTATTCTTAGTAGAGTAGTAATTGTGCATGTCTTTTTCAGTTTGTGTGTATTAAAATTAATATTTCATGTGGTAAAATTTTTTTTTTCATACTTTGGGGTGTCAGGAATGGATTAATTTGATTTCCATTATTTCTTATGGGGAAAATTAATTTGGCAAATGATAATTTCGGCTTACGATGAGCTCTCAGGAATGGATTAATATCGTAAGGTGGGGGTCCACTGTATGTATATGTCTTACAATCCAGTGTTTTTGACGTATAAATACGCCAAAATTCTAGCGGCTTCAAATCAAGCGGGAGAAAGCTGGTAGGCCCATTTGTGAGAGAATGGGCCTGTGTGGTCAGTCTGCTCCATATAAAAAAATCCTGCAGCACGCAGTGCATGAGAAAAAAAATACTCCGACCTTTTTTTTTTTTAATTAAAATGACGACTGTGATTTATTTTCGTATAGTATTTATGGTTGTATTCTCGTTTTCTTGGTCTCATTTGATAGAATGGAAAACATATTATAAAAATAGAGGTAATTTTGATTGGTTTTACTATGAAAAGAATCTTGAAATTGAGCTCAAAGTAGGGGAAATGTTTGATTTTTGCCGATGTTCAAAAGTAAACAAATGATGTCATTTTCCTATAAATGTCCAAGTAGACATTCTAATATGCAGTCATGAATGGGTTGACATTATTTATACAATTATTACAATATTGCAGTAGTCTGCATAACAGTAAATCTTCTATTTTTTGTTTGAATAAAAATTCAAAATAGAAAGCAAGAGTAACATCAGAGGGGCCTGGAGATGTGACTAATGAACAAAGAAAATGTTATTTTAGAGCCAGGAATGTCTGCATTGTTCATTCTGGACCCTATTTTGAAATTCATATTTTTTAATTTTCGTGAAACTGGCCAAATTGCAAATTTCTGACCACGATATTGGGTAGTTGAAATCGGTATATGGGCAGTTTCTTGTACTCAGTTGATAGAAAAAATGGAGCTCTAAAGAAATAGCTACGAGTTTGATCGACTGGAACAATGGAATTAGCCGAAAATAGGGCTCAAAATGAGCGAAATCGCCGATTCGTAAATATCGCTGAGGTCGCTAACTTTGCGAGAGTGTAATTCCGTCGGTTTTCCAGCAAATTTCGTTCTTTTGGTGTCATTACAATTGGGAAAAGATTCTCTATCTTTTTTTTTTTTTTTTTTTTTTTAAATTTTGCGGCACCAGGAGACACCTCAGGATTTGGGGTTGTGACAGTCAAAGGGTTAATCCATTCCAGAGCGACTGGCAAAAACAGAAATTGGCGAAAACTGAAACCATTTTCGTCATAAGAAATAATGTAAATCCAATTAATCCGTTCCAGTCACCCAGAAGTACTAACAAAAAAAAAAGTTTTGTTACATTAAAGATAGATTTACATGCACAAAAGAATGAACATTCAACATTCCACAAATGAATGCACTCTAGTCTGCATTGCACAGATCTCTTTAATCTTTGAAGATGGCAACTTCTTCCATCTCTCTTCCTCCTCCTCTGAGGCAGTTTCCTCAGCTGTGGTCTGTTGCTGTTGCAGATGAAGCTCTTGCAGCTTATTAGTGGTTAGCTCTTGATTGTGATCCTCCTCCAACTCTTCCACATCCTTGCCACTCACATCCAACCCCATGGAATTCCCCAATGCCACAAGTGATTGCACAACAGGTGTAGGGTCAACAGGGTCAGCCTCAAACCCTTCAAAATCCTTCTTTTGGACATAATCTGGCCACAGTTTTTCCCAAGCAGAGTTCATCGTCCAGGAAGTCGCTTCCTGCCAAGCCTTATCTATATGGCTTATGCAGTGGAAGATATTGAAGTGATTCTTTTAGAACTCTCTTAGGGTCAATTCAGAGTCTGAGGTTATGTCAAAGCACCTTTGAAACATTGCTTTGATGTACAGTTTTTTTGAAATTTGCAATGATCTGGTGGTCCATGGGCTGGATGAGAAGAATGGTGTTAGGAGGTAAAAACTTCACTGTTGCAAAACTGAATTCCTTAGATAATTGGTCTTCCAAGTCTGGAGGATGAGCAAAAGCATTGTCCATTAACCCTTTCAGGGTCCCCAGGCCCTCTCCCAGACTTGTTCTCAGGGTTGCCCAAATTTAAAAAAAAAAAAAAAAAAAAAAAAAAATTGTGAAAAGATAGAGAATCTTTTCCCCATCATAATGACACCAAAAGTATGAAATTTGATGGAAAACTTATGGAATTATGCTCTCGCGAAGTTAGCGGTCTCGACAATGTTTGAGCATCGGCAATTTTTGCCTACTTTGAGCCTTATTTTCGGCCAATTCCAGTGTACTAGTTGACAAAAATCATAACTATTTCGCTAGAACTCCATTTTTTCTATCGAATGAGTACAAGAAACCACCCACTTACCAAAAGGTGAGGTGAGAAGAGAGACAGCAGCAGCGGCATCCTAGCAGCTCTTATTCAAGAAACCATCGCTTATCAAAGCTTGTGATGGCCTAATTGAAGGTACAACTACATGAACTCACGTAGACCACAAAATGACCCAAGAATACTAAGAATGTAACCCAAATCTTGACAAAATAGAAGATCTAAGGAAGACAGCCCTGCTAACCCAAACACTGCCTCCGCTGCCAGACAATCACTTAACCCAAGCTCAGGGAAATCAAGCCTTCTCCGCCATAGCTACACAGTATCTACTTTAGTGATACTATGAAAGGATATTGCAGAAGAAACAACATCAGCAAGAAAAGAATAACACCAAGGACCCTAGAACTCAACTTGTCTACCCAGCAGGAAGCCAGTGTATCATCAACCCCCCTCACCACCACCACCCAGGGAACAAGAACAACAAACATGGCTGACTCCCCCTCCAACTCCACTCCCTTCAAAGGATTCCACCCTGATAACTCAGTATGATTATTCCTGAAATATCAGGGACTACATCATCGCTCTAGAAAGTGAAATCAAAGATATTAAAGCAACACTTGCGCGACGAGAAT